TTTTAATAATTAAAAATTCTTTTGAATCATGCCTCTTCGATTTGCAACGCATTTCCAAGTATATGAAGCCTTGTATATCCTCTTCCAGTAGAATACGGTTGAGCCTTCAGAAATTACGGTTAATTTTCCTTCAGGACAAAATGAAACCAAATAAAAAATTGTTAGCTAATTAATATGTTCTGTAACCTGTTTTTGAAAACAAGGATTATTTGAATAATACCTCAACAATAGTGAAAAATTATGTTTGCACAATGATATTTTTATTCCTGTTTTGTTCCAAACAGGGACTACTTTACCTGTTAAGATCCACTCTGATCTTCATAGCCTTCCTCACCCATAAAGTACACAATTTTACATGCTAACAACAGTTGATATTATATATTATGTTTTTACACCATGCTTCAGAAAATTACACCAAAATTATCAGAGTATACATGTAGGGAAGTTGAAATTTACTCGATGGTATTACACCAAACCTTTCAATAATAATTATTATTAAGCACTGCAAGTATGTCACATCAAGTGTGTTGCCACTGTATTTTCTGTGACATAGTATAAAATAGTTATGCAATACTTTCTCGTGGTATACCATGGAATATTCCACTTGTCATGAGCATTTTCTAATGGTACATGTACAGTATACACACTTCCCTAAAAGCTCCTGTGTATTGTTGGTTTTTACTGCCATGCCATCAAAAATAAAAATTGTAATCATTCAATAAATTAAACAAGAATCTGGGATAGCCAGTCAAGACCTCCTGCACAAGGTTGGTTGGGCTTTAGTCAATGATCTTCACCACCACCATCCATTGTGCCGGTCAATTCTCAGTGCTTGAATGAGTCAATAATCACTTCCTTGGGATTGAACACGACCAAAACTATACATCCTTTGTTGTCTCAGCACTCTTCCATTAAATGGGGGGATGAGAGGGGGTGCTTATTCGAGGGGAGGGGCTCATTTTAAAGTTTGGCCAATAGCAGGGGCGCTCATTCAAAGGGGACACTTATTTGAGTGGAGGCACTAATTTGAGGATTTACGGTGTATAAACAACCTCACTAAGATTAGGTCTGCGTGGTATTTAATGCCCACATTATTCAGAGAAGTGTTTCACGATGGTCGTACAGGGTGGGGGGGGNTTGGATCAGTGAAATAGAAAGTGAATAACTGTTATGCTGGTTAATATTATGGCACTTTATAGGCACAGTGCTAGCATTTAACTTTCGTTGCGGACAAGTATTATTCTTGGTTTCCATCAGCGTTAAATCAACTGGAATTCAAGAGTAATAGAGGAGTAAAATAGGAACGCATTTTAAGGATCGTGTCAACTCCTCGCGTAGATTTTGTCTGGCTGACTAATTTCCGAGTCATTTCCATCCATAATTTCTAAAGAGCAGTTTGTGAACTCTTTCTTCGGTCCGACATTCCTAGTCGCTGTTCTAAGTTTGTAGTTCCTGGAAATGACATGAAGAGGCCAAGGCAGCTCACGCCGGCTCAGTAACTTCGATTTGTAACCCTCAAATGGTGCCAATATGGTCAAAATGCTTCCTTTAGAGCCAGAGTCTGTCGTCATCTCGTCAAGATTTCCTCCAAATTCACAGAAGTAAAGTAACAATATCAATAAACAAACCAAGAACAACACCAAACAGTATGCAGCGCTCGCCGAGGTAATCTCTGTCATCCGCGAGGGAAACTATTTTCACCGGTCAATCTGGTCACGATGAGATTCAAGTACAGCCTTGTTACAACTGCATCGTCAGTTGGGTAACGTGATGAGTCAACTCTCTTGCAAGCTGCAAATTACGCATGCCTGTTACAATGTACGTCTCACTTGTAGTTTTACCGACTGGCTCATTAAACTGATGCAAATTAAGTCTGCATAGATGTCGGGTTTACAATGTTAGTTGAATTCTCTCGAGGTTAAACCCAGTTGAACACGCTTTGTCTCATGATGTAGAGAGTAGAAGCCCCCCGCATTGCCAAGCAACAGAAATCGATTCTTAAAACACCTCCTGAACTGTGTTAAAAGGCTCGACAAACAATTATCAGTCTTTTTAACTGGAAAAGAAAGGTACTAATTGATCGGCAATTTTGACCTTTCTGACCCTTGTACAATTGTAAAGAGTGCTTTGCATTAAAGATTGCATTAGCAAGTGATCCAAGTCATTTTTAGTTGCCATCATTTGTAAGAAATTCAAGGTGTTTAGTCAAGTGACTGTATTTTGGCACTTCGTTGTTCCCATTCCTGATCTCATTCTTTTCTAACGTTGTCGCAACTTTCAGCTTAATAAATGGAAAGGAAAGAGGAAATTTCAGCAATGAAAAGGAAGGGAAAGGAAAAGAAAAAGACGGGACGGGACGGGACGGGATCGCAAGGGAGAGAGGACTGAGGGATGTGCACAGGAGCGGATTTAGTGGGAGGTGGATTGGAAGGCTAGCCATCGCCCGCACCCCGCTTCCCTCTTTGGGGAAGCAAAAATAAGACATTGAAAAAGATTGTGAATATTTGAATGTTTTGGCAGAAATCAATTAAGCGAACAGTCTGACAGGTACCTTAATTGTGCCGATTGCTGGTGTAACAATTTTCAGTTAGGTTACAATTCTCAATTTACAGCATTTTGGGGGAAACTTCAAGGAACTAGCCAACCGGTCAACTGTAAATGCATGCTTTATCAAAGTAAAAACACGAAACATCGTTTCGGCTTCTAAGTACTGTAATTCAACAAAGAAAACACTCTCCTACGCCAGAGTTCCCATGTTTTTTTTCCTAAAATCCTTTCGTGTTCTCAAATGCCAGTACAGAATAAATAGCTGCGGCTTCTTTGTTTGAAAGCAAGATAAGTCTATGTTTTATTTGAGACAATCTCTATAAATTATTAAACACATCCATTAAAACAGTAGTGCCATTCCGTCTAATTTACTACACAGGGATAAAACTACTTAAACAAAAATCTTCACAACTATTTCTTTTTTTTCGCCGAAGATAATTTGAATAACGTGAGTGAAATTCCAGGTAGCAGAGAAAGCATGGCAAACTGTATTACCAAATTTTTTTTCAATGTACATATTGCACTAAATATCATCTTGTCTCGAGGTGCTGTCGTCGTTTCCATGTTCTATTACCAGAATGTCGTAACATGGTGAAGAAGTATTCAGAGCTTCTTCCCTTCCGACATGCCTACGCTGTTCTTCAAATGTCACCGTACCAATGCTGCTCTTCTTGCCTTGTACCTGAGAATTGCTCTTGATGCCTCTCAAACCTTGAGAACTCTTGTAGTAGTTGATTAGATTTTCAGTTAAATTACTTCTGTTTAACGCTGGTGTCAGGTTCATTTCGCTTTTATCGTAGTGTCGATTACTGTCCTGTCCCCTAAGGAGACGACGCTTATTGAACGTCCTATTTCGCGATAATTCATGTTCACTTTGGTATAATTCTGTTGCATCTTTATCTCCAAACCCTGAAGCATTGATCGCTGGTAAAAACACTGAAACTTTCTGTTGTGTTAAGTTTTCTTTCACCTTGGCAGCCCTCAACTCAGACATTTCGTTTTTTCTCACCGGAGGCATTCTGTGCTGTGCATAACGCTTGCTGATTTCCTTCTCCTTTTCTTTGATTTCTTTTAACTTGTTTTTGAAGACTCGATTTGTTTCCATTTCTTCTCGCCGTTGCTTAGCCATGGCGTGTCTTTGTCGTTCCTTTAATTTGAAGGATTCGTTTTTATAGCTGTTGTACAACGCCTTCCGAATTGAGAGAACACTTGCATCCATATCCATTCGTCTTCGATAATTTTCCAGCAGACTAGCGAAATAGCAGTGATTCATCGTGGAAAGAATTTCCCAGCTTACTTCAGGTAATAACGGCACCTCTCAATTAACAATTTAATGAATAGATCCATCCTACACTCACTGATTAGATCAGCAATGACATCAGAGGTTAACATTCGTATAGCTTCGTATCCAAAATAAATTCGATCTTTTTGTAGACTCTGGCAATACAATGTTAGCAATAGCAGCTGGGGAAATATTCAACACTCGTGTTCATCAGCCGATATGCTGGATTTGATGATCACATATCTGTGTATCAAGCCGCTATGATGATATTGGGTGACCTGTTTCACTAAATAAAACTTATCGAATGAAAACACTTGCCGTAGGGTTTACTAGATAAAGAATATGAAGTATGAATTGTAATTGAAGCGTGCGAGAATAGATCAATTAAGATACTGTTGTCACTGTTGGCTACATAACCTTATAGTAGAACCACTGAGGGTATAATAAAGTGATGTCTGACAGTGACAAGCCTATTGAATCATGCATTGTGTTGTCTGTGTTATGCACCTGCTCGACTGAAGTCCTCTCAATTATCTGCTTGAAATATTCATCACCTCTCGTTTCCGATTACCGAAATTGCCCTTCCTATGTTTTTTCTCTTGCGTCCAGTTGGAATTCATCTCCTCTCCCCAGTTAACGATTTTCGCTTCCCTTTTCATCTGAGGACTTGATATTGTATCCGTATATATAACGTCTGTACCAGGCTAAGTAGACTCATCCCAGTTTCCTTAGATCGACTTGATTAGCTTTTGCCTATTTTTGAAATGCATGAGGTTTCGGGCAAACTGATCACTGAATCGATCGTTTTATAAGCATATAAACAAGCTTCATAAGCTTCATTTTGAAAAGGAGGCAAACTGCCGGGAAAGGTAATTTGGTATTTCATTTTGAAAAGCAACTTTCGGTAATGAAAGATTTGAATGAAACAAAGTTAAATCATCATTTGAAATCACCAGTGTGCTAGTTTTTTTTTCGCACTCGACAGACTAGACGCTCTCTCGAGTGCGGTCTCACCAGCGCTCCTTTCCCGAACGGCGGCTAGCTGGTAAACGAGCGCGAGCTCAGCCGACCATAGTGTAAAAATACTTCCGCCGGAAATCGAACCGCTTTCGAATACATTAAAATAATTATTAGGCCTGAATAGCAACAAATGCGGTTGCCAACCAGTACAGCAGTGGATCTCTTCGCAGTGGGAAGATAATCGGCGGAAAAAAATTAGCGTTCTTTACCACATTCCTGAGCGAATATGGCATAGTCAATCAGTTTTCCACGCAAGAAAGGGGATTGTTCTCCGGCGAAATGGACCAAGAGAGTGAAATGGATCACGAGCGCCCGACTGCCGACGCTTCGTGGAATTATTAACCATGTTGAACGGTTTTGCGAAGCATAGACCACTCAGCACAATTGAGTATGAACAACAGTTAGATTATCTGTGCCAGTGGATAGAAAAATGGAGCAATCAAGTGGTAAGATAAGATTAATGTACAAGATATCTCAACTTTTTGATGGTAACTGAACCACGCGCCGATTATTCATGCATGTATACGGAAAATGAGTGTCTCTGTTTACAATAACTTACGCTTTCATTGACTTTTACGTTTGCGTTAATACTTAAGTTTAAGCGGCTTTTCTTGTCCACAAAGAACACTTCGACATTTTCTTATTTGAATTTTTGCATCCTTAAAGTTTAGGTTATCTTTTAGTAAGCGCTCTTTGTGGAAAGGAAAGGTTATTACGGATACTGGATTCACGCCTTGTGATGTGGTGTTAACTAACGAGATTGTGTTGCCGGCGCGATCTGCAAGATTGTAAATAGTTTTCGGCTCAAACTTTACATGCATAAGCTCAAGTTTTGAGAAAAGCTCCTATACCCATGATACGAAAATTTCGAGCGTTTGTGCTAATCTTTACGACTGAGTTTTCGTGTCCCCTGGTACGGTGTCGAACCCCAGTTCCTAATTGAATAATATATTTACCTTTTTAATAATTAAAAATTCTTTTGAATCATGCCTCTTCGATTTGCAACGCATTTCCAAGTATATGAAGCCTTGTATATCCTCTTCCAGTAGAATACGGTTGAGCCTTCAGAAATTACGGTTAATTTTCCTTCAGGACAAAATGAAACCAAATAAAAAATTGTTAGCTAATTAATATGTTCTGTAACCTGTTTTTGAAAACAAGGATTATTTGAATAATACCTCAACAATAGTGAAAAATTATGTTTGCACAATGATATTTTTATTCCTGTTTTGTTCCAAACAGGGACTACTTTACCTGTTAAGATCCACTCTGATCTTCATAGCCTTCCTCACCCATAAAGTACACAATTTTACATGCTAACAACAGTTGATATTATATATTATGTTTTTACACCATGCTTCAGAAAATTACACCAAAATTATCAGAGTATACATGTAGGGAAGTTGAAATTTACTCGATGGTATTACACCAAACCTTTCAATAATAATTATTATTAAGCACTGCAAGTATGTCACATCAAGTGTGTTGCCACTGTATTTTCTGTGACATAGTATAAAATAGTTATGCAATACTTTCTCGTGGTATACCATGGAATATTCCACTTGTCATGAGCATTTTCTAATGGTACATGTACAGTATACACACTTCCCTAAAAGCTCCTGTGTATTGTTGGTTTTTACTGCCATGCCATCAAAAATAAAAATTGTAATCATTCAATAAATTAAACAAGAATCTGGGATAGCCAGTCAAGACCTCCTGCACAAGGTTGGTTGGGCTTTAGTCAATGATCTTCACCACCACCATCCATTGTGCCGGTCAATTCTCAGTGCTTGAATGAGTCAATAATCACTTCCTTGGGATTGAACACGACCAAAACTATACATCCTTTGTTGTCTCAGCACTCTTCCATTAAATGGGGGGATGAGAGGGGGTGCTTATTCGAGGGGAGGGGCTCATTTTAAAGTTTGGCCAATAGCAGGGGCGCTCATTCAAAGGGGACACTTATTTGAGTGGAGGCACTAATTTGAGGATTTACGGTGTATAAACAACCTCACTAAGATTAGGTCTGCGTGGTATTTAATGCCCACATTATTCAGAGAAGTGTTTCACGATGGTCGTACAGGGTGGGGGGGGNAAATCACAGATATCAAAATTTCATTTTCCCAAATCATGAAAATAAACAAGTAGGGTACTGTTTTTAATAACCTGCTCTGACTCTAGAAAAAGCATTTGAAGAAAGCAGAATTGTCAGAAGGGCTAAGTAATGGCTCCATAATGCACATCGCATACCTAAATCACTCTTGATAGAAAAATAAATCCTCCTGAGGACTTGCGTCTCAAAATCACCTGGAATAGCATGGTGAAATCACGAATATCAGTTAATAATCAAGTTTTTCATGGGTCATTCAGAACCTTCAGGTCACGGATCACGAAGAATAATTTCTTAAATAATTTCACGTTTCCTGGAAAATAAAATCAGCTAATCACACATCACGAGAATACCCCTAGCCTGCAAACGCAGACATATTTTCGGCTGTCACTTGGTTCCGCCAAAAAATAACATCTGCGGACCCGAGCCAGGAAACGATTTCTGTTACGTAATGACTTTTGTTTCTCCTTGACCAATCAGATTCCATGATAGAATGAAACTTGAGTGCTCCTCACAGCGAATACCTCGCGCAGTAGTTCTGGGGTTATTTGAGCTAAACTGTGATTGGCTTAGAATTCCTACGTCACAGAAATCCTTTTCTGGCTCAGGTTCGTAGACGTTATTTTTCGGCAGAACCAAGTGACAGCTGGAAATACGTCTGTGTTCGCAGGCTAGAATACCCCTGGACTACCCTCTTTCATCCATATTTATAGAGCTTTGTATGGAGATGCCATGTTGGTGCCAGATGGGCACCAACATGGCAGCTGTAAAGTAACAGAAACATCTTTTCTTGAGTTTTGCTATAGAAATGAAATATTATTACTCTAGAACTCTGAAACGTTGAAATTACTACTTCTTCTAGTGAAAGAACTGTTCAGTTAGCAAAAACTAACGTGATAACTCATCTTTTGACCTACGTGAGAGCCTTCTTGGACCCCAATTTTAATATCACGTAACGTATAAACTTGGAATTCAAACATCTTCTGTTACAAATCGAAGTACCTTGTCAAGCTTAAATGTTGTAAAATGTCAAGTTCTCAGAGGGTCTTACATCTGATGAAACTAAAACTTCGGTTCTAAAGATTGGTAATTTTTATTTTTGTTAAATGATGAAATCACATGAAAACCAGCAATAACGAGAAAACACAAGTGACTTGAGGGCAACTCCATGACGTACCACTTGAAATTGTTGCATAATAATTGTTGCATAATAATTGTGTTGTTCCAGGAAATATCCATACCATTCCCACAACGGTAGTGGGTATTGCCATTTTCTAGAACCACACATAGTTCAATGCTATAGCTAAGGGAATAAAAACATAAGATATAATCAGAGAGAAATGAAAGAAAGAGAGAGAGAGAGGAATGCTGCTTGGCAGCAAAGTTAGGTCTGCCAAATGTTTATGACTGCTTTTGCAACTCAATATCTAAGCAATATAATTAGCAAAGCTGGTAGTTTCTTTTTGTTTTTTAAGCTGTTAGTTTCTAATGAAACTGTCATGCTCAGTCAGAAGGTAAATGAAACACTTAGCTATTTCTCAAAAAACTATATGAGGATAAACTACCTGCAGTAGTGAGTTTATCAGGAAAAAACACACGGTTTAGGTTATTGTTGTTATCATTTTTAAAGAACTCATACTGACACTTTTTGATGTCTTTAAAAGGTTACTTTTACATGTATTGTAAGGTCAGCATTGAACAAATTACATCAACATATACATGTACATGTACATGTTCATGCATGATTCACCATTTGCTGAAGGGGCTCTACATGCCATGTTGATAGACCCAGCTATGAAAATAATAATTATAATAGTTATACCTGCTATTGAAATAATAAATGTACCATGAGAATTTCACACTTCACAAATAGTTTGAGAACATATGTATATACAATGTAAACACTTGTAAGCAAATAGAAAGTTAAGTTTTCAAAGAATTATGGACATGATTGATTTAGTTTACAACTTACGGCCTTCTTTTGAAGCAAAATATCATTGAAATATAATTAGTTTACACAAAAATGAAATTAAAGTTCTTTCAAATTCTGACTACATGTACATTCTACTACATTCTTTAACACTTGCTTAAGAGCTCGCAATAAAATTTAGGAAAATTAAAGAAGTGTCAGAGATGTGGCTTGAATCTTAGTAGATTTTTATAGTGTACACAACAATTGAGGCAAAGCTTACGTAGGGGAACTCACGGAGCCCAGAATAGGCTTTCAGCTTTCAGCTATCTGTTGCTTCAGTCAGTTTACTGGTCAACATTTATTTTGATGAAGTTAAGGATAAAAAGTACATGTTAAGTCTGTGCATAAGCCTAGCCCACCAGAAGTAAAATTATTCGGTATTATAATTTCTTCATCTATCTGACCAAGGGAAGATCACTTATTTACAGCTGATGAAAATTTAAGGTATGATCTGGAAAAAACTGTATCAAGACACCTTTTTAAATAGCTGTTAACATACAGTACACATATTTTCTCTGTTATAGAGGCGCAATGTGATTGATCTTCTTCTTCCACGCTGTGATCAAGAGCAAATCACGTTTCTGTGGACGGTAGGTTTTTACTACTTCTGTATATATACATGTATCATGAGTGAAAGAATGTGGCATAGACGCAGCAATCCTTTCACTAAAGTCAGGGTGAAGCTTAATTATTATTGAAATTACTAAATAATAATGCCATCCTGCTGAAAATGTTAAAAATTTCACCTCCATTAAGAAACAACTTCCTTTTACAAGATAGTTGGGTGGTATTTAGTTAATATTTAACACATAATGATAACAAAATACACAAGTGACTTAACCCCATTTTGACACCCTCTTTTGAAATGCATTTGTTTGACTGACTAGAGACAAGATACAGGTCATTAACTGTACATATTGTAGTGCATTTACTGTAAGTCACCATATACATGTCCTATGGATTGTTGTTTTCTTGGATGTGAAATCAATCAAAATGTAAATTCACTTCTTCCTAAAGGTGGTTGAACCAACATTGCATAGAGATTTCATGTACAGTTCACTGAATGCCTTTCCAAGGAGTTCATTCAGTCCTGTTTCAATACCACTCTGCAGAGAAGTTCACAAAAAGCTGGGAAAGCCAAGATACAGGGTGAGAGTTTTTATTTCAATTTTTACCTATTAGCAAATTAAGATTATAAGCTTAGCTCAATTGATCTTTTACTGTAATACTCACAGTATTGCGAGAGATTGAAAAATTAGGCTTATTATTTTTACTGCAGGTTTTTTACTGAAATTTCTTTGACCAGTTTTCCAGTTCCTGCAAAATTAGAGGGTCCACTCAAGCTTATCCTTTAATTATTTGACCTCTATCACCTTTCTGTCATTACAATTTACATTTCAGGCCTGGAAGCTACACAGGGTAGAGAGTGCCATCCTCCATGATGAGGTGAGTGAGGTGCACTTTATGGTAGTAAAAGATTCTTAGTTTTTAAAGCTAAATAAACAATTAGTTTAACAATATATATTGCAAGTTTAAACTTAGCCTAAAATGAGAAGTTGTTCAGATTTGAAAACAGTCACGCATGAACCTCCAGCATGGCGACAGCTGACTAACCTGTACCAGGACGTAACATGTGGATTATTTCAATAGTCGATAAAAATCGATCATTGTCAATCATTGTCGATACTAATCAATCGACAAATATCGGAAATCGATAAAAGTCGATCACACAATTTATTGCGATTATCGACTTTGTTCGATTATGATTGATTTTGATTGATTTTGATCGATTGTGATCCATTTCAATCGACAAGTATCGGAAATATATAAAGCGATGTATGGTGTAGACATACGTAGGTTGCAGACTTGTACAACAGTCACAGGTGCAAGGAGAAGCAAGGGGCATACAAACCCGGCGAA